GTTCTTCACACTCTTCTACTGTGGAACAGAGCTTGTTCATCACTGTTCTTCACACACTACCACTGTGGAACAGAGCTTGTTCATCACTGTTCTTCACACTCTTCTACTGTGGAACAGAGCTTGTTCATCACTGTTCTTCACACTCTTCTACTGTGGAACAGAGCTTGTTCATCACTGTTCTTCACACTCTTCTACTGTGGAACAGAGCTTGTTCATCACTGTTCTTCACACACTACCACTGTGGAACAGGGCTTGTTCATCACTGTTCTTCACACACTACCACTGTGGAACAGACCTTGTTCATCACTGTTCTTCACACACTACCACTGTGGAACAGACCTTGTTCATCACTGTTCTTCACACACTACCACTGTGGAACAGACCTTGTTCATCACTGTTCTTCACACACTACCACTGTGGAACAGACCTTGTTCACCTCCACCGTTATTTCTCATATTTTTTCACTTGTCTTGTTATATCTTTCAAACAGTCGAGTCTTCGTTATCACTGTTGTCCCTGGGGCCAGATTCACGAAGCAGTTACGCAAGCACTTACTAACCTGTACATCTTTCCTCAATCTTGGACGGCTTTGGTTACAATTATTAAACAGTTTACAAGCATGAAAACTTCTCTCTCAACTGTCGTTATTGTTATAAACAGCCTCCTGGTACTTCGGAGCTTATTAACTGTTTAATAATTGCAAACAAAGCCGCCAAAGTTTGAGAAAAGATGTACAGGTTCGTAAGTGCTTGCGTAACTGCTTCGTGAATGTGGCCCCAGGAGAACAAGGGCCCGTCGCCACTGTAAAGTACACCCGCAACAGTTCGGTATCATTTCCTTTTATCCCTTTTCATCAGTTAACATTACCAGGTTCTTCTCCTCTGCCTCTATTGCTCTCACATTGCTCACAGCCATCCATACCTGCTTTTCCCTGCTGGGGTCTGGCCAGGTACCCAGTCCGTCATCATTAGGATCACCAACGTCAAGAAACTATGGCACTAAAATGCCCTTGTCCTAACCTACCAGAGGACCCAAAACAGAAAACGGGACAGTGTGTGAACTGTGCCTATTTTCAAGCTAAACTAAATTTCTTTCATCCTAAACCTGCTTCCAACATTTTTAGTACAGGGGTCTGCCTTCCCTTCATGTCTGAACTCAAACCTCTAACTAACACATTTCGTCCTCTTGACTTAAAACTCTAACGTAACTAACGTTACTAGCACTCTTCGTAGTAATCTGGTTCACACTGTTCCTCCTGCCTCTAATGCTGCTGGTGTCTACTCTATTTCCTGTTCGTCTTGTCCTCTACAATACTTTGGTGAAACTGGCCCTACACTAAATGACAGACTTAAAGAACACAAAAGAAGTGTTAAGTATGCAGACACAAGCAGTGCTCTCTTCTGTCATGTTAGGGATTATATAATCATCCTGTTGATTGGTCTTCCTCTATAATAATCTTTCCTGCCTCTACACAGACGCCGTCTTGTTGAATCAGCTCTGATACACAACGTACCCAACATGAACCTGAGTCCTGGCTGTGTTGTTGTTGACTCTTCCCTTTCACAGTACATACTCAAATGTTCCAAACTTTCTAACAAACGTGACCTAACATAAGCCTACCCTTCTTTTTCTCTTTCTTTTCTTGTTTTCTTTCTCTTGTTTCTCTCACGCTCCCATTCTTACTCTAATTATTACTCCCTATATTACACCTTACCTTTCGCCTTGCTTTTATCTTCCTCTAAGATTTCCGTCTCCTCACCTCTTTCTTGCCTTACCTTATGCCCGTGCCTCTCTCGTCTCATCACAGTCGGCTTGATAATGGATCAGGACGGACCGAAACGTCGCCGTTTCTTCAATTTCTAGTGTGTGGTTTGGTCAACATTTTTTCAGCCACGTTATTGTGACTTTTCATCTGTATAGCTTAATATTAAGAAAAGTGTGAAGAACACGTGAGATGGTCGAAGCCCCAATAACACCCTTAACACCTGTAATGTTAGTTTATTTGCATTTCGGCACTTGTAGGTCCTTCAATTAAACATGTGTGTTTCATCCACACGTACTGTGTAATTTGAACCTGTCACGTTGTTATTGGGATTTACTGATTTCCTATCTCGTCCATATTAGTATATAAGAAAAGATGCAAACTCCCTGGGGCTCATGTGCATTTCCAACCGTAACTACTCACATATATGTCTAACACACATTTGAAACAATTCTACATCTATTATGTTACCTGGCAACGCGACCAATAACAACAACCCCTTTACCAGTATTTACCCTGGTCTTTTTTCTGAATCTAAACTTATCCAGTTTATATCCATTGTTTTGTGATTATATATTTACCCCGTATCGTCATGGCCACCTGGTGACCCAAGCTATTGGAGGATTGTGGTATACGATATTCACCCGAGGCCCGAGGACCACTAACACTAGTGGCCTCCACAAGGACAGGAAGCCGGCGGCTTGTCTAAGATCCCCCCTCCATTTGTCCTGATGATCTTTTCCCGTTTGACTTTAACATTTAACAGAGTTTGGGCATTACGACTTCGGCGGGTAGGCGGTTCCATGGGTTTATATCCCTGTGGGTGAAGAAGCATCTCCTGTTCTCAGGAGATGCTTTTTGCTTTCAGTATGGCCAGGTATTTGGAGAGGAAGGGTTAGGTGGGTGTGGAGTGGCAGGAACAAGTTGTAGATACTTGGCTGGGAGAGTACAATCCAAATACCATCCGGCTGACATCTTGCAACTCTAATATCATTACCTATCCTTAGAACCTTTCATTTGTCATCATTAAATTACATCTGCCATCTTTCGACCATTTCAAAAGCCAATTTGGATCGTCTTGAAGTGATTGTGAGTCTTCTTCTGAGTTTATTTCTCGGTCAACTTTCATATCGTTTGCAAATATGTAAATATTGCTGCTCGGTCCAGAATCTAAATCATTTACTGTATATGTATGGTAAACAAGAGAGGTCCCAGGACAGACCCTTGAGGCACTCCACTTACAACGGTCTCCCACTATGACTTAACACCATTTATACTAACAGTTTCCTTTCATATAACGATTACCTTATGCAACTTAAGATTGCACCCCAATAGAGTGAACTTCTTTCTTTTTAGTCAGTCTTTCGTGGAGTACAATATCAAAAGGTTTGCTAAAGTTCAGGTACACGACGTCACAATCTTTTCTACTATTAACTTCTTCAAATATGCTGGAATGTAATGAAAGCAAATTTGCCAAACATGAGTGGCCCTTAGTGAAACCATGCTGTGACATTTATTAATCTACGTTTTCAAGATGTAGATGAATTGCAATTATTAATTTAAGCAATTTTCTCACAATAAATGTTAAGCCAATTGGCTGATGGTTCGACACAAGTAATATATCTCCTTTCATAAAAAAATGGTACCACATTAGCAACCCTCCATGACTGGTACTCTGCCTGACTAAAGATTTATTAAATATCAAGGCAGGCTCATAAACGTCGTCTTTGCTTTCTTTAAGCACACTGGCAAATACCTCGTCCGGCCCTAGGGACTTGTTTCACTTTAATTGTTATATTTGTTTAATAACTTGTTCCCTGGTGATCATTAAACTATTCAACCTGTTCTCTTCACCACCCATATTCTTGCGCCCAACTACCACCGCCTACCACAACTACGTTAACAACTTCTAGTACCGCCACTCTTACTACTACTAGGCCTACTTCCAGGCCTACAACGGCTACCCTCACCACCTACCTTCACTACCACAACCCCCATCACCTGTACCATCAACACTACGACTGCCACAACAGTTACTGCCACTAGAGTGAAAAAGTATATAGGATACAAATGAAATTAAATATATCTAAATGTCGCAATTAATAGCCAGAACAGCACTACTTGGCCTAGTATGCAAGGCCCATTTACCTAACAGGCATTGATTTTCGTTATTTTCAAATATTTCTTTCCAAATTGATTTATTCCAATTATTATTATTATTATTATTATTATTTTATTATTATTATTATTATTATTATTATTATTATTATTATTATTATTATTATTATTATTATTATTATTATTATTATTATTATTATTATTATTATATTAGGAACAAGAATTACAGACTTAGTTATGATTGGTTAGGTTAGGTTAGGATTGATAAAATTTCTATATTAATTTTAGCTAAAAAATCGTCATAAATGAAGCTTCTCACTTTCCCTGATTATTTTTTAATTAATTATTCGCTAAATACTTTATTATTCCATTAATATAAATTTTTGAAACGTATCATTTCAGGAAAATTCTGCTTATTAGGCAACTTGGCCAATTAGGAAGAGCATAAAATAATATATCCTGAAATGTTAGCGCGGCAAGATTTCCCGGGCGTTTGAAATTCGCGCGGAAATGTAGTTTGAGCCGTGAAGTAGTGCGATAATTTGACATATAATAAAATATTTATGCTAGGCCATAGAGACTTAAATCTCGTGAAATTTATTTTAAGGTAATTTAAATTACATCACGATGCTCATGAAGTGTATGAGAATATAAAATTTGTTAATTATATTGATTTATTTCGTGAATGGTGGTTGGGTGTTCTCAGGCCGCCCGCAGCAGCCAAAGCGCGTTGCCAAGTGTACAAATCAATACACAATTACCAAATTTTACTGGAATATATTAATAACCTCATCATAAGCTTTATACACATTAGGTTAAATTTTGCAGATATTTATTTATTATGCTTACTATTTTGCTGTATATCAATAACATATATTGTGTCTCCTTAATGCGTACAAGAAGTAAAAAAAATGTTCATCTGGCAGGGCGTCATACATGTAATGAGCATCTGGAATGGAAATAAAAACTGCTAAAAAAATTTAATTATTCTATACAATTTTAAGAAATAAATGTTATTTTAGGAAACTAAAATTATTTCAAGCTTTTCAGATAGAATAGCTATTTAATTGTGGTGAAAAGTATTAGCCCCAACACTTATCTTGACCCATATCTCAGGCAGTTTTGTTTACATCGTGTGTATACGACCTTGTCGCCTGGAAGTGTAGTCATATTCTTGTCGGAGTGTACCCTGGTCACCTGGTGACCATGACCACCTGGTGACCCTAGCTACCTGGTTACCAGGTTAATGTCATCGCCCCGAGTCCCACCGGACGCAGGTAGTTCATACTAGTGGTGGTGCAGGTGGATATTAATGAGGAGAGGTACCCTGGCAGCAGGGAAGTATAAGGAGGTCCCCCCCCCCTTGTGTTCCTGGGGACTGTGTGTCCCCACCTTGTTTACCTTGGGGACTGTGTCCCCACCTTGTGTACGTGGGAACTGTGTGTTCCCACCTTGTGTACGTGGGAACAGTGTGTTCCCACCTTGTGTACGTGGGAACAGTGTGTCCCCACCTTGTGTACGTGGGGACTGTGTCCCCCCACCTTGTGTACGTGGGGACTGTGTGTCCCCCCACCTTGTGTACGTGGGGACTGTGTGTCCCCCCACCTTGTGTACGTGGGGACTGTGTGTCCCCCCACCTTGTGTACGTGGGGACTGTGTGTCCCCCCACCTTGTGTACGTGGGGACTGTGTGTCCCCCCACCTTGTGTACGTGGGGACTGTGTGTCCCCCCACCTTGTGTACGTGGGGACTGTGTGTCCCCCCACCTTGTGTACGTGGGGACTGTGTGTCCCCCCACCTTGTGTACGTGGGGACTGTGTGTCCCCCCACCTTGTGTACGTGGGGACTGTGTGTCCCCCCACCTTGTGTACGTGGGGACTGTGTGTCCCCCCACCTTGTGTACGTGGGGACTGTGTGTCCCCCCACCTTGTGTACGTGGGGACTGTGTGTCCCCCCACCTTGTGTACGTGGGGACTGTGTGTCCCCCCACCTTGTGTACGTGGGGACTGTGTGTCCCCCCACCTTGTGTACGTGGGGACTGTGTGTCCCCCCACCTTGTGTACGTGGGGACTGTGTGTCCCCCCACCTTGTGTACGTGGGGACTGTGTGTCCCCCCACCTTGTGTACGTGGGGACTGTGTGTCCCCCCACCTTGTGTACGTGGGGACTGTGTGTCCCCCCACCTTGTGTACGTGGGGACTGTGTGTCCCCCCACCTTGTGTACGTGGGGACTGTGTGTCCCCCCACCTTGTGTACGTGGGGACTGTGTGTCCCCCCACCTTGTGTACGTGGGGACTGTGTGTCCCCCCACCTTGTGTACGTGGGGACTGTGTGTCCCCCCACCTTGTGTACGTGGGGACTGTGTGTCCCCCCACCTTGTGTACGTGGGGACTGTGTGTCCCCCCACCTTGTGTATCTGGGGACTGTGTGTCCCCACCTTGTATATCTGGGGGACTGTAATTACCTAAGTGTAGTTACAGGATGAGAGCTACGCTCGTGGTGTCCCGTCTTCCCAGCACTCTGTCATATAACGCTTTGAAACTACTGACGGTTTTGGCCTCCACCACCTTCTCGCCTAACTTGTTCCAACCGTCTACCACTCTGTTTACAAAAGTGAATTTTCTTGTATTTCTCCGGCAGCTTTGTTTCATTAGTTTAAATCTATGACCTCTTGTTCTTGAAGTTCCGGGTCTCAGGAATTCTTCCCTATAAATTTTATCGATTCCTGTTACTATTTTGAACGTAGTGATCATATCGCCTCTTTTTCTTCTATAATAGAAGAAAGGTGCCCACCACAAGGTGGGCCATTGTGTGGCCCACCTTGTGTTCCTGGGGACTGTGTGGCCCACCTTGTGTATCTGGGGATTGTGTGGCCCGGCCCACCTTGTGTATCTGGGGACTGTAATTACCTAAGTAATAAACCTAAGTGTAGTTAAAGGATGAGAACTATGCTCATGGTGTCCAGTCTTTCCAGTACTTCTTATCATAACGCTTTGAAACTACAGATGGTTTTGGCCTCCACCTTCTCACCTGTTCCTTCTAGTCTGTTCCTTCTCACCCTCGTCTGTCTGTCAGATAATGTTTCATCCTTGTCAGAAGCCCCTTTCTGTACCTGAGGACTGTACTCGTCTAGTTGTACTTGACTATTTGTGCCAGCAGGACCGAGCATTGACTCATGGATCCCGCCTTTCTATCCATTGGTTGTTTATAGTAGTGACTTGTCTTATTTCCCTATCATATCTAGTTTTAAAATTATGAAGAGAGTTTGCTTCCACAACCTGTTCCTTAAGTTCATTCCATTTTTCCACTACTCTCATGCTAAAAGAAAACTAACTAGCATCCCTGTGACTCGTCTGACTTTCTAGCTTCTACCCATGTCCCCTTGTTCTGTTAGTATTCAATGTGAACATTTTGTCTATTTCCATTCTGTCAATCTTAAGTATTTTATATGCTTCTATCAAAAACACTCCTCACCCTCCTTTTTGCTAGTGTCGTCAGGTTTAGTTCCTCCAGTCTCTTCATACCCCCCCATCCCACGTAACTGGGATGAGCCTCGTTGCAAACTACTAAACCTTTTCCAGTTTCCTTATGTGCTTCTTCAGGTGGGGACTCCATGATGGGGCAGCATACTCTAATACTGGTCTCACTTAGGCAGTGTAAAGTGCTCTAAATACCTTTTTACTGAGGTTTCTGAATGATCTAACTTTTGCCAGTGTAGAGTATGCTGCTGTCATTATCCTATTTACATGTGCCTCAGGAGTTGGATTACACTCCCAGGTGTACCTCACAGCTGTTCCTCTCAGCTGTTCCTCATGGGTGTACCTCGCAGCTGGATCTCCCGAATGTACCTCACGGCTGTTCCTCCTAGGTTTACTGTACTTCACAGCTGGTTCTCCCAGGTGTGCCTCACGGTTATTCCTGTCAGGTGTTCCTCCTGTGTGTATCTCTTGGGGTACTCTGGAGACAGGACAGCACAAAACAATTAATGCAAAATAACATGCATGTATGAAAAATGCTTTTATATTAAAGTGAGATAAACATCAAAAAATTATATAGAGAACATTATACAGTAGTTTATTATTTAATAAGTGATTTTTCTTACTAGATATATATTGTAATCTATGTATTCTTACTATGTATATATTGTTGTTTAGTTGTGTAATCTTATGTGACTTTTGTCTTGTCAGATGGAGTGCAGGAGAACAGAGTGATTTGTTGGAAAGGGCTCCATCATGGCTGGTAAGTTAACAGCAGGAAAGCTAATGCTAATACACTATTGTATGCTTAAATTTGTTCTTATTTAATTGTGACTAAAAGACTTTTAATCACAAAGATGATATTTATTCAAAATAATTTGCCCTCTCTGATTTGTGTATAGTACCTGTATACTTTTTTCTAAATGGAGGATTTAGCAGTACAGTATCCTTTTTTTAGCTGGCTAAATATTTGTATATTTTATTTACCACCTCCAGAAGCAAAATTAATACCAACCATAGAATTTAGTTTCAAATATTAGTACTGAATTGCCAAATGACTATGAAGACCCTGCAAGGACAAAATACTGTACAGTTTGGCAGACCAACATTTTTAACTATGTAAAAGGGATTTTTTCAATATTACTCAACAGGTCATACTAGGGTAATACAGGGACATCTCGGTTTACGAATTTAATCCATTCCTGGAGACAGTTCGTAATTCGATAATTCATAAACCGAAGCAAATTTCCCCATAAGAAATAATTGGAAATGAATTACGGTAATCTGTTCCTGACTCCCCAAAAAACTTCACTTCAAAGTAAATTTTATATCTAATTCACCCAAATCTTCACTACAAAATTATGTTCAAGTTATTACTTACCTATGCTGATGACTCCTGTTGGCATATGGAAGATGGTGAGGAGGGGGTTTGGAGGAGAGGTGTTACTGTTTGGAAGGAGAGTCCCCTTCCTATAACATCAGGCAGTGAAGACTTCTCTGGAATGCACTCTCTGGCACATTTTGCCTGCATTCCACTAGGACCTGGTTGTGGCTCACTGCTTGATTTTCTTGCAAGAAAACGTTCCATTGAAGATTGTTTTTCCTTTCTATGCAACACTTGTCTGTAGTAAGGCATCACATTGTCATTGAAAAGGTTAATGCAACGGCCTACTACAGCTTTCTCTGGGTGAGTCGTTTCAACAAAAGTTTGCATTTCTTCCCACAGCCTACACCACTTCCTAATTGTTGAGGAAGAGACATTCTCTACTGCCTCATCCTCCCCCGAAGAAATATTCTCAGCTGCCTCTTGTTGCTGCTCCTTTTGAAGGGCTTGGAGTTCCTCGGTGGTCAGTTCTTCATTGTGTTCTTCCACCAACTCCTCCGCATCAGCACCATCCAATTCAAAGCCCATTTTCCGGCCCATAGTAACAATTTCCTCAACAATAGGCACTTCATTTACAGGCTCAAACCCTTCAAAGTCTAGTTCTGACACACATTCAGACCACAATTTTCTCCAGCCAGAGATCAGGGTTCTTCGAGTCACTTCTTGCCAGGCTTTCTCAACGAGTTTTAAAGCACTACAAATGTTAAGATGGTATTTGCGGAATTCTTTGAGGGTGAGGTTTGTGGCATCAGTCACTTCAAAATATTTCAGGGAAAGTGCCCTTTCATAAAGATTCTTAAAATTCGCTATGATTTTCTGGTCCGTAAGCTGAATTAGAGGAGTGGTGTTAGGAGGAAGGAACTTTATTGTGACAAAATTAACCCTTGTGTTGCTAAGGGCCATTGTCACCCACAGGTGCATAACAAAAAAAAAAAATTCTTCTAAACTTGTTAATTTGTGTTCCCTGATCACGGGAAAAATAATAAAAAAATCGAAAGTGGCATATTTTGCCCGCTATAGCGCGGGGAAGACGCAAAAAAGAGGTGCTGACTCAGCATGCGTCCGAGGCAGCCTGTTCAGCCCCAGCTGTCAGGCAGGAGTAGCCACAAGGAGATAATTACCTAATTATTTCAATGTCTCTGATTGATTTTTCTTCATTTTTTTGCTGTAATATTATTCAATAGTGTGCAGTGTGATATATTTATATAATAAAATGTGTGAATCATCTCTGTACTCAAAATTATGGTGTGCATATTATTGATTCAATTATTCTGTTCATAAAACAATAAACAAATACTTTGTTGGTTATTACACTATATACACAGGTTATATATGTATCTACATGTTTTGTTCACCATAACGAACCACTAAGTTGATGTTGCAAGTCAAAAAGCGGCGAGGTGTGGCCACCACATCTGCCAGTCAGCCTCTCGCTGCCACTCTCTCCCACTCTCTCCCTCAACTCCCTCAATGACTCCTCACTCGCCCACATCCTCCTCTACCATACTGTTTTTGCTTTTATTCACTATATACAGGCTTTATATATAAGTTTCTACATATTCTGTTCACCATAACTGTTCAACTAAGCTGGTATAGTGCCCAAAGAGCATAGAGCCACCCCTACCAACATGACAAATCATGCAGATGTCACCGCCTCCCTCACCAAAAAGGCTTCTACCCCACACTCCTTTTGCTGTTATTACATTATATATACACGTTATATATAAGTATCTACATTTGTGTTCACCATAACAAACCACTAAGTTGGTATGCTTAGTGGCAGTGGCAGCCTGCCACTGGCTGGCACTCCCTCCCTCCCTCACCTTACCTGACTCTCCACCATTCTCCTCCCACCATACTGTTTTTGCTTTTATTCAGCATATACTTACATATATAAGTATCTGCATGTTTTGTTCACCATAGCGAACAACTAAGCTGGTATAGTGAGTCCAGACAATAAAAGGTAGTCATACAGAGTCAGCAGACAATGCTACCTCTCTCCCACCAAGAATACTCCTCCCACTACAGCGCTAATTATCGCAACAGTCCTGCTATTATCAGAATCCTGGTCATTTTTATCACAGTCAGGGGTCTTATGTAATACTGTACTATCATCGCTAAATAATAGCATGTACAGTACATATATATTATGGCATTTTTAGGCGATGCTGTGGTCACAAGCTGAACAGCAGTGCTGTGATCTCATTCTGTACTTAATTGTGCTTGCGGGGGTCGAGCTCTGGCTCTTTGGTCCCGCATGTGTGCGTCAACCTTGGTGGCTCACTCAGTACTGAGGACCTCACACTCGGGAATGTGGCCCACGATTTTTTTTTAAATTGCGTCTGTTAACAAGAGCCCTGATGAAGGCGAGGTGAACCCCATGTATCTGCGGGTCGTTTAAATCTTGCTTAGTACTCCAACACGTCATCTGACATGATGCGCACTTTTGGGCAAATTACTCAACACGTCATGTGACGTGTTGCGCAGTTTAATGGTTAAATTTGTCCTACAATGCATCTTCCATGCCTGGAGGATGAGCAGGAGCATTGTCGAGAAGAAGCAGGGCCTTGAGTGTCAAACTTTTCTCCTGCAGATATTTTTGTATGGCAGGGCACTCCACCTCATTCACCCACTCTGTAAAAAATATCCTAGTCACTCATGACTTACTATTAGCCCTTCACATCGCACACACATTTGGCTCTTTTCTGCACACTATTTTTTTGAAACCCTTGGATTTTCAGAATGATACACAAACAAGGGTTTAATTTTCAAATCGCCACTCGCATTTCCACACAGCACAAGAGTAAACCTATCTTTCATAGATTTGTGTCCGGGCAATGATTTCTCCTTCTGGGTAATTTATGTCCTCTTAGGCAATCTTTTCCAGAACAGTCCTGTCTCATCACAATTAAACACTTGTTGCGGTAGGTATCCCTCAGCCTCTACAAAATCTTTAAATTCTTCAATAAATCTTTCAGCCGCTAGTTTGTCTGAGCTGGCGGCGTCCCCATGCCTCACAACACTATGAATACCACTTCTTTTTCTAAATTTTTTAAACCATCCCCTGCTTGCCTTAAAGTCTTTCGTATCTGCACTCGTTCCAGGGGTTTTCTTTACAAGGTTTTCGTGCAATACACTGGCGTTCTCACAAATGATGGCCTCTGAAATGCTACCACCTGCTAACTCCTTGTTGTGTATCCAAATTAATAACAACTTTTCCACATCCTCAAGTATTTGTGTTCTTTGTTTTGTGATTGTTGATATGCCTTTTGCCACTTTAGTATTCAGAATGTTCTTTTTCTTGGCAAGTAAAATGCATGTCGTTGACATGGATTTGTTGTACTGCCTAACTAGTTCAACAACATGAGTACCAGTTTCATGCTTACGAATGATCTCTTGTTTTTCCTCTATGGTCATTCTCGCATGTGATTTCTTGCCTTGAACCTTACCACTGGCTTTCTTGGGACCCATGGCAAGATATATAACAACAACTTTTATGCTCAAATAGCCAAAAATCTGAAAAAAAACTGTAAATCCTTGTGAAGAATACAGGCGGGATAATCACTGGACACGAGGCACTGGTAAACTGAGGCACAATCGCCGTGCCACCACGTGCTAGGTCAGCCGTATGCGTATCAAGAAACTTGTATCCCGATTAAAATTTTCCGAACAAATCGGGCTTGTAACCCGAAAAGTTCGTAAACAGGGGCGTTTGTAAACCGAGGTACCACTGTACTATTAACGTCCTACGTTAATAGAATGCTTACAGAAGGACTGCCCTAAACACACGCAGCTCAAAGTGAAGATTAGACCAAGTTCATGCAACAAGTGACGCTTATAGACACATGCACATGAAGCAAATACTAAAGGTTAGAAATGACACAAGCAAATGGCCTCAAAAACCAGTCCAAAAAATGGCCTACACTTAGCTTGAAAAGAAGTGAGACTCTCCATAGCTGGAAAATTGAGAAATGTATGTATACTCGGACGTCACTGACAGGATGTATACTCCTGAATGTACTGTATGTATACTCGGACATCAACTAGGGGGTTTGAGCTAGTTTTGAGCAAATCATTTGGGCCTGAGTAAATTGTTTGCAGAACTGTATGGTTGTTTCTTTGAATCTTGCAGCTTTTTGTATTGCTTTGCTTACATTCTGAATGTTTCTCGGTGAAGGTCATTGTAATAATCCTCTTTTTCCTGTGCCTTTGTGAGGGGGAGAGGGGGGGGCAGGTTCTGGCTCTGGTGCCTGGTAGGCTACAATACTGGACTCCTATGACTGATGTGACTCTGTAGAGGAGAGCCATCTCAATGAGATAGCTTCAGGGAACCACCTTACCAGAAAGAGGCACTTCATTACATTCAATTCTGGGTTCATGGTATCTGCATTTTTTTCTTGTTGAGTTGACATCATTTAATTATAAGTACTTTCTATTTTGGTATTTTTGCTGGTATATGTTCACTTAATTTGAAGGATTTTCCAGGAGCCTAATGTGACTGGAAAGGTACTGATCGCTTTTTAATTCTGCGTACTTCAATTGCACCTGTGCTGTCAGGAAATGCTCATCTTCCAATCCACCTTTCTGACTATAGGGCCTTAAACTATGTTGGTCATTGAATAAATCCACAAGGGCCATGATGAGGGTTCAAACCTATGTCCAGTGATCTCAGACATGACTTAGTCAATTGTGCCACGACAAGGTAAAAGAATTGCAATCGGGAGTGCTACTGCCCTCACATGGATCCCGCAGTCTCTCCGAGACACAAACCGGGGTTTTACACAATATCCCCCCATGCACTTATGGGGGAATCGCTCATTGCCCTGCCCTCACTCATGCCCCCCATGAGTGAGGGCAGTAGCACTCCCAGTTGTAATTAAACTCATTGTAAAATGAGTTTAATTGCAACTCATTACAGTTGCATAGTGATTTTAATAACTAATTATAGTTATAAAATGAGTTTAATAGTCTAAACTCATTATATTCCTATCATTTACAGTATTCATTACATTCTCTTTACTCTTTATAGTACCTAGTAAACATTGCACCCCCCTGTAATGCAACTCTATGTTTATAATTATATCTTTATTTCCAGGTGAAGGGACCCATCTGGCAGTCTTTGAGCTGGGCACAGCTCCTCCACTGAACCTGTGCACATCGGTGCTGGAAGATTCACGGGGAATAATGCAGATGGATCTGAATGGTAAAAGCAACAATGATACCATTGTCCAACAAGGAGGAATGGGTCAGGTTACTGCTGAAGAGATGACCCATGTGACTATTGCAGATGGACTGATGGAACATGATGTGGATGGCACAATGGTGCAGATTGTGGATGGTACTGTGGCACACATTGTGAATAATGGGATGGGGCAGATAGTTTGTGATGGCATCAGTCAAATAGTGGAGCAGGATATAGCGGAGGTGGGTGGAGGAGCTCTGGCACAGATAACCAATGGAGCTACTAACCTCATCAAGAAGGAAGAGGAGCTAGAAAATGAAGTAAGTCTTGAAATTTCTTTTGTCATCTTTGTTTTTTATTTTTCTCTACCGCAGCCCTGTCCATTTGGTTTATATCTTCACCTCTTATACATTTGTACCCGGCAGAGAGTGTAGTGAGTTATTGGACACACTCTGATGGTATTGGCTTGACATATTTTTGCATTGGTCTTGATGCCCCATTGCAAACCAACTGATTCCTTTTATTTGCCCTCCGTAGACAGGGTTGGCAATCTGTTCTACTGCTTAAGTGTTGTGGAATCTTACCAACAGGCTTTGTCTGTAAAGTATTTTCAAGATACAAGAGTACTATCAACTCTTCTTTTGTACTCCTCTAACAGTTCTTTCTTGCCCAACATTTTATTTTATCTCTTGGATCATATGTGAAATATAATCACTCTTTCACTTCTTAATCGTATCTTGCATAGCTCCAGCGTGTGAACAGACAAACCTCCAATTATCCGTTTCGCTGCTCTTGTTTAGTGATACAGTTGTAAGTGGATTTTATAACTCCTAAAGTAATTTTATATCCTTTATTATATTAATCTATCACAGGCTGAAGAAGATGGACTTGATGTTGATCCAGAAGGTACCCTAATAGATGAAGATGATGATGATGATGACGTCCCTGTAAAACAGGAGAGAGGAAGAAAAGTCAAAGGGAGAAAGAAAAGAAAGCGTCGCCTGACCTTCACACCCAGGAAGTTAAACAAAGTATATCAGTGTGAATATTGTCCTGCCAGATTTGCCAGAGATACTCAACTCAAGTATCACTCGAAAGTGCACATTGATGACCAGACAGAGGTGAGTTTGACAGGGTTATGTATGTCAGGCAACATTTTGTTTAATTTTAGGAGCCTCGTAAGTACGAGGCATGTTTTCTCACATGTTTTCTGTGGGGAAGCCCTGTAGGTTCCAGGGAGCCTCCGAGGCTCTGCAACATGCACAGTATGTGCTTGTTACAACAACTATAAATATTATTTACATCATTGCTAATACATGTAAATCAGTTACATATAAGCATTTTAGATTAAGCTTTAAAAATAAACCAAAATATAGAACAGTGTATTCTGTACTTACACTTCCTGATTGGTGATTCTTATACCAAATTATAGGTTCGAGGCCAACTATCTTTTATGTCCTTTCTTTGGGTCTAATGAGTAGTTGGTCAGATTAATTTACCCGTAATTAATAATATTTATTAATAAATTAAATCACAAAGTTGGATACTTGAGAGAGCTGTCATTTAGTGATGCCCCATTACTTTCAGATCATATCTTGGGTTTTGTGCACTGAATGCATAGAAAATGTGTAAGCATAATGGGTCACTGACTAGGAATCTAGTCCTGACCAAACTAAGGAGAGCAAAGAGAACATGAGAACAATAAAACTGACTAACACTGTCAGTAACCAAGAATGTATCTCCTCAGAATAATAATATCCAGCAGTCATTTAAGATATTATTATCTTCACTGCACCTAATTAGGCTGCCACCTTGTATAGATATACGTGTACTCAACATAGACCACTGGACATCAGAAACTTTCTTCACTCGCTCATGTCTCGACAGCAAGTGGTGATTTTGTCCAAATTGCAAGCTAAGTCGCTAATGCAAAAGATAGGTAGTCCCCACTGGTCACTTTGGGTCACATGACATATAAAGCATCATATCATTTGATAACATGAGAGCAGTGCCAGGAACCATTTTGTTTAACCTAGCATATTACATAAAATGCATATATTATCTAATTTCACATAATATAAAATTATGTATCCTATTTAATTTAAATGTTCCCTAGTAGTCCTCCTACATCCTGGTTATGAATAAATCCAACTCGGAAAGAAGGCAGAGTAGTGTTAGAATAGACTGCTTTATCACAACAATTGTGCCACGAAGTCTAGTACTGCACTTGTCTTTAAAATCTCACTGCAAACGTTAATTATTTGTATTTCCATATAGTACTGCTTAGTTTCTAGCGGGCAGGATATCTTTGCATTTGCTTTTGGCAAATGTTGGGCTCATTGGTCCATCATCACTTAAACCAATTTCCACTTCATTGATATGGTTGGGGAGTGGAGGGGAAGGGGGCACTTAGCTTTTAATGGAGGAAATGTATAGTAGATTGGGTGCCTAGTCCAAACTCCTCTTGCTGTATTGTAGGGGGATGCAGTGTGGTGTGTAGCATCACCACACCCAATTGCTTATTATTTAGACTGTGGAAATTGGTAGAAAGATTATTACACCACCCATCTTTTTTCTTAAATTCATAGTACTGTATACTGTAATGAAACCAGTAAAATTCCTAATGCAAGTAAAGTTTGTATGCATGGTATAGACTATATTTCAAATTTGCAATTAAATAAACAAACTTTTGATTATTACTCTTTGCTTTTATTGTTTGTTATCTGCAATTTTGTTATATTTACTACTATCTTAATTTACAGAAATTTGAATGTGACCAGTGTCATGTTGTCTTCTCCCGGATGAATAAACTAATGAAGCACCGCCAGCGTGCTCATCAGGAAGCTCTCTCGTGTAATCAGTGTAATTCCCAGTTCACACACATAAACAGCTACAGATTGCACATGCGTCTTCATAGTGGAGAAAAACCGTATGAGTGTAATGAATGTGGAGCCAGGTTTGTTCAGAGTAGTCATCTAAATATTCATAAACGTTCACATACTGGTGAAAAGCCATATCAGTGTGATGTATGTAAACAGTCTTTCAAACAAATATCACATCTTAGAACTCATGAACGAATTCATACACAAATGAAACCATATACTTGTCCTATGTGTGGAGCTGCTTTCATACAAAAAAGTAGTTTGAACCGCCATAGTAGGATTCATACTGGTGAGAAACCCTATGTGTGTGTAATATGCCAAGCAGCATTTTGCGTTAAGAATAATCTTACTCGCCACATGATAACTCATACTGGTGAGCAGCCATACAAATGTGATCTTTGTCCAGCTTCCTTTGGTCAAGCTATAGACTTAAAGAGACACAAGATAGCTCATACTGGGGTGAAGCCATTTCAGTGTGAATTATGTGAAGCTTCATTTAGCCGTAAGAATAACTTGAAGTGGCATGTATATAGTCACACAGGTGAAACGCCTTTTAAGTGTGATGAAGATAAGTGCATGGCAGAGTATACTCGTCCACGAGATCTTAAGAAACACAAATTAAGCCATGGCCCTGCTAAACCACATGTATGCGAGACTTGTAATCAACACTTTCCTCAGTCTAGTGGTCTTAAACGGCACATGATGACTCATACAGGTGAAAAGCCTTTTGTGTGTGAAAAATGCTTTGCTACATTTGTTGACAAAAGTGCTCTGAAAAGACATATGTATAAACATGTTGGTGTGAAGCCTTTTGCTTGCAAGAGGTGTGACACAACATTCCGCGAGTTTCGTAGCCTTAAAAGACACTGCTTACAAGTTCACGGGGAAGAACCCGATAATAGACAAGCCCACATGCAGCTGCAGCCACATCTTCTGCAACAACATATACAACAGCAGCCTCAACAGCAGCATCAGATCACAACAATACCTGCAGGAACCATTATCACCACTCAAGATACATCACATCTTAATCAGTATGCACAAGCAGCTCCACAGCAAAATCCCCAGCAGATGGCCCAGGTGCCAACATTAATGCTTTCTGGTGGACCAGGGCAGCCTGCTCGTGCTGCAAGGCCAGCCAACAATTGTCAGAATCACACTGCTCATGTTCTTACATTTGGAGGTAATAATCAGTGGCAGTCCTGGTGCTTCTGTGAGACTCCAGCCATTCCTGAAGCTGCTCAGCAAGTGATGGTGGCTACTACTACTACCTCTGTCAGTCTGCCTGTAACCACCCATCAGCAACAGGTTCAGCAAGCACAGCAGCCACCACCTCCACCACCACAGCAGCAACAGCAGCAACAACAGCAGCAGCAGCAACAAGCGGCACCATTTACAATGTCTGTAAAAGCTCCCACAATGCCAACTCATATACAGCTACAGTTTCCTTTTGGAGACACTCAGCCTGCTACTAGCCACACTCAGTGGGTAACTAACTGGGGGAAGTAAAAATATTTGTAGCTTTGTATTGTTGAATACAGGTATTTTATTTGTATAGAGTTTCATGAAGGAAACCCCCAAGTAATGGAAATAAATAAATTATATATATATATATATATATATATATATATATATATATATTATATATATATATATATATATATATATAATATATATTATATATAAATAAAATATTGCACTGAATTAATTTTCATTGATTTGCCAATTCTTTAGTATGAATACATTATTAAAATTATTCAAAATTATGTTTTTGGAATATTTAACTTCACGACCATACAAAAATGATATAATAAAACTAATTGTACAATCTATATCTATAAAAGTGGGTGCTTGTCTGTTCAATAGTCGAGACTAGACGCTTGGGGCTAGCCTGATAGAACTTTGCATAGTGATTTGTGATTGTATAGGGAGTGTCATAGGGTAATTGGGGCTGACCTCTGTGTCCCGTCTTAACCCCCTGCACTGTGCACTTGATTTCATGTAACAACTTTATGGTGTGGGGGTTAATTAATTATTAACATTAACTGAAAATATGTAAAAACATGAAAAATGTCAGAATATTGCTAACTCAACAATTTTCATTTCAATTCATAAAGCGCAAAAACTTAAAAGGAAAACATTAAAACACTGCTAAATTCAATAATTTTTTGCACTAACCCGTAAAGTGCTTTAACCACCTTGCTGCGCCGAGTTTATTGTGAAATTCCCCCTGTGCGCATGAAATAAAGTGTTCCCAAAAAATTCTTTTTTCTTCGTAAAATGATAAATTCCCTTCCCTGAACATGTCTATGTAAAAATAAATACCAAATTCCACTTACTTTGGCAGTGGGAGCTTGCGTGTGCTTTTCCGTGTGAACAAGGTTCGCTGTGACGTCATCAGGGCCTGGTCGCCCGTGCATGAAACGCCCAGACACGGTCGTGCGGGCCATTCAAGTACCGGGTGTTGCCACAAATATATTTTCAAATATTTGTTCTATGTATTTCCAATGTGTTTTTTTTTTTGTTTTTTTATTGTATATGATGCATATTTGGGTCCTTTACAATATGTATACAGTAGAACGTTCATAATGTTCCATGGATCTGTGATACATGTGTCAGTAATGTGTCCACGATAAATGTTTATTGTTGCTATATTACTTGTTAAAAATTCACTAAAATTACAATATGTACAGTTTCACACACTATTTACACAGTAACACATTGTATTACACACTCAGTGCTTCGGAAGTGAGTAATAGTCAACAAAGTGGTCCATGGTGAACAGCGCGACTTCACTCTCGTTGCACCAGGTACAGATAAAATTTTGCTTCCTGTTTCTTCATTCTGTGTGCTTGCAAATAACGCACTCATGTACACCCTTGGCTTTAGTACGTGTAGGTTGTATGTAGCCAAGCTTGTAAAGCATAAGGTAGCATTGAAAAGATTATAGGAAAAGATTAATTTGTAAGGTAGTCTTGAAAAGATCGCTTTGTATGATCCCACACAGGAAGAGATTCAGTTTGCCCCAAAGAGTGTCCGTCAGTCAGGAAGAGATTCAAGTATTCTTGAAAATATCTATGGAAAACACCACCATGGAAGCCGCTAACACTGTTCATCTATTCTACTTGTATCGGATGCATCATCACTGAACACAGAAAACGATTTATCTATGTATCATCTAAATAAATTGGAGATAGCATAGGATTGCAAGGGGTGACGCTCAGAGTTACAACTGGATACACTCGCTGTATCGTCCTCATAGGTGCTGTATCACTTGCATCCGACCTTTGTGTTAGGTCCTTATTGCACCTAGCTTCACCAATATTATGACCCTTATGTTCTTCAAACAATAAGGTTTGAATTTCACCTACAGAGCATTATCTTTTAACACCGCGTCGGACAGGTGTTTGGGAGCCAGAGGTGCATGCGCCACCCATGGTTGCTCATTCAGTACTAACCCAGCCAGCAGCCCTAGGGCATTCTGGGAATTTTTTCCAAGATGGCTGCTTCTCACTGGAGGTCATAAGAGTCCATTTCGTACACAACCAACCTCGTACACATTAGAATGGGTACGGAAAAATAAAAAAAAAGAGTTTTCTCGGTTGGGGCAGTTTCCCGCCAACCGAGAATACTCGGCTGACGCAGTTAAGTGGTTAAGGCACTATGCACACAGCAAGGATTAAAATGGATCAATTCTAATTTGAAATCTCGGCAACCAATAAAGTCTGAAATAGAGTTTTGATTTCTAGAGTTCGTCAAAAGATTTTCAGCTGTTATTAATATGCCAACTTACACACAACGTAACCACAACATTTTCTGAGGTAGCCCCTTGATGGCTCCCTAATGCTGTCTAGCAGAGATGGCTTCAAACTTTTGGGTAACATCAGTCAAAGGAGTTCTGTTTGACCTACCAGGGACCAGAGCCAGAACCTGCTCCCCATCATCCCCCTCAGAGGTACAAATAGTGAGTGACAATCTACTACCTCACTGGGAAAGCATCCAGAAAGTTGGAAAGCATTACAGACAATTACAAGGATCACATAAAATGAAGCCTTAAAATTGCCAAACAAATTTGCAAAAGATTCTAATTAAACAATTGGTTTACTCAAACTCATTAATACAGATAGCCTCCACCAGCCTGTCCAGGCCCCGTCCCAGAGCTGGCTTCCTTCAGTCTGTTCTGATGCTGATGTGTTTTTATCAACAACTTTTAGTTCCTTGGGTCATCAATTTTTGTAGCAGAGCCCTTACACTTTCAGTTAAGTGCCAGCCATCTTACTGACTTCACACTGGGGGGGCAATTTGCTAGTGTTTCATTCATTTATTTTAGTGTTTGCTTCATGTGCATGTTTTATATCTGGCTTTGTTGTGTCGGCTTGGCTTCTTTAGTGCTCAGAGCTGCATGTGCTCAGGGTTTTCTTCCCAGGATGCTCATTAGTGCTGCCCCTGCACTGATAGTTGCTTCTGTGGTGTGGTTGGGAGTTGGCCCCCGAGTAGCCAGGCCACCAGAGTGAAGTGCCTCGCCTTGGGCTGTTCATGAGTATGTACATTATTTTACTCCTCTGTTTGGGCCCTTGGGTGCAGGGCATTCTAATCGGTTGTGCTTGGGGTGCACTAATGTTTATACAGCATGCCACCCCCAGCCACATAGGGGATGGGGGTGGCCCCATCCACTTCATCAGCAGAGGCAGTCTGGTCTCACTGGGGTTTTGGAGTTTTTGTCTTTACAACTGCCAGTCAACTTCCAACCAGCTGGAAGGGACCAACAAAGGTCCCTTCTTGGATCTTGGTTCCTTCTGTTGACGGTCCCTTGCTTCAGGAGAATTTTTCTTGTCCTCCCTTCCATGGATGAGTATGATTAATTTGCAAGGGTGTGAACCCAAAAAATAAAAACAAATTGTGTACTAACCTTTTTGGATCACCCTAAAATGTATATACAGTGGTACTTTCATTTACAAATTTAATCTGTTACCAGAGACGGGTCGGAACTTGAAACAAATTTTCCCATAAGAAATAATGTTGAATTAATCCGTTCCACATTCCCAAAAATATTGACTTAAAATATATTTCATACATAATACACACACATATTTTGTACTATAGTACTGTATGTACAAGTTATAGTTATCCTCTTCCATTATAACATCAGGCAGTGATGACTTCTCTGGGGTACTTTCTCTCCTACGTTTTGCAGGCATACCACTAGGACCTGGTTGTGGCTCACTGCTTACTTGTCTTACTAAGAATCTGTCTAAAGACACTTGTTTTCCTTGCATTTTAACTCTTGTCTGTAGTGAGACATCACTTTGTCATTTAATAGGTCAATTTCGGTAGTTGTATTTTTACTGGTAGTGGAAAAATTTTTAGGGGTGAAAACATCAAATGTGAAAAAATATACTGTATATATATTTTTTGGACCATCCTAAGGTCCAGTCTGGAATCATGCTCGGGAATGATGATCCTTTTAGTGCCTTGGTGGCCAGCTCAGCCTTGGTTTCTGGCTCCTCTAGCCCGGTGTCTGAACATGGGCATTTTTCCATGGCTGTGCATCTATTGGCAAATCAGCCAATAGATGCATTTGCCAATGCATCTGAGAGGTGAAACAACCACACCTCTCAGGTGGGTTTCCTGCCTATTTCAATGTCCCTGGACCTGGTAGGGCCTGTGTTTCATTGGGTCGGCAGTTGCAGCCAGTTGTCTCGACTTCGCATTGAGGAGTGAGGACTAACCACCTCCCAGGTAAGTCCCTGTGTTTTTCCTTGTCTTTGGGTAGTTAGCTCCGGGGAGCCGATGGGGCTCCCCCTAGAAAACCAGCATTTAATATAATGAAATGCCATTCTCTGGGTGAGACTTGGAGGTTCCCCCGCATCCCTCCGGTTGGCAGTGTTTTTGCGTGTTTTTTACATCCAGCTTTAATAACTGCCGGTTGGATCGCCGGCGCGAGGGTCTGGGGCTCCCCCTTCCCCTTCTAAGGGAGGGCAGGGTTTGCAGACAGCGGCACGGCAATGTGATGACATCATGCTCGTTTACTACTTTCCGTTTGGGGAGTTCTGTCCACTTGTTCACCTTTCAGTAGTAATATTTTTACCAGAATAAAAGTTTGGTTTTTGAGGCGCCTATCTTTCTGGGTGCCAGACCCAGTCAATGGCAGACATAGAATGCTCCCAACCACACGGGGGTTTCTATAGGCCATTGCTGAGGGGGGCCTCTCTGAGGGGGCCGGGTTCTGGTTCGTGGTCCCCGGTAGGCAAGAACTCCAGGCACTTTGACTGATGCCAGAAAGCTAATAGATACACATCAGCCTGGATAGCTTCGGGGAGCCTCCGGGTCTTACCCAGAAAATGGCATTTCATTTTATTCAACGCTGGTTTTTTTGTAGGCTCTTGCCTCTAGATGCAAGGTGGGGGAGTTTCATGCTCATGTGCCGAGGCATGGATTCTGCTTCTTTGACCCTAGTGGTCATTTTGTTCATCAATGGCCTTTTTCCTTCTTTTCTGGTGAAGAATTAATAGGGGGTCCTTTTGTGATTGATGCTTTAGTGTCCAATGCTATGATGTCTGGCCTGTTGGTTTGGTAGCTTCACTACACACTATCACTGTGACCATCTTCATAAGACTTCCTCACT